AGTGAGTCTATTTTTTAAAAACCCAAAAAACCTCACGATGCCCCTTGACCCCTGGGTCCAAGTGAACACAACTATATGGATTTCCATAGCAACACTGTTTTTGAAAGGGAAAACCCGGAAGAGACTGGTTCAGTCAACGATGTCATACTTACACAGTGGGATACTAAGGGTCTTACAAAAGACAAGGTGGACCATTATACACTGGCCATCACGTCATCACTGTCTTGGTGCAAAATGCTCAAAATGTATCTATTAGCAGTTCTCAAAAGTGTGGTGTGGGGGCATCCTGGGCGGGTATCTAAAAGCCTTTCAGATGTCTGAGAATATTAAAACCAGGGCTCGAACCAATTTTCCCTGATTGGTTCAGTCTTGGCCAAGGACGTGACATTGGAGCAGACCTGAATTTGTAGAATGTACAATGCACTGCTAGAAACTCCATCCCCCTTCTACAAGTCAAGGACACTGCGTGCATTGTGTCACAGCCAAATCTCTTCACACAGTACAGTTGGAAACAATGGTGCCCAGCTGGAAATGGGGCTGAGCGGTGCTGTTCGCCTCGGTCCCGGCGATAATCCAATCTCCTGCATCAGGCTTCTGCGGGATCCGCATGCCTCCTCCCAGTCTCCTATGCCAGGGTTTTGACCTATACTTATTCCAATCTGGTACACTCATAGTTTATAAATTTGGGTCTCTTCCGATTCTGCGGCATTAGCCATGACAACACTGGTTCAAAGCCCCAAATAAAACACAATTTACATTTCATTGGCACTTGTGGTTGCAAAAGCCACGGTGGGCAAAACGGCCGGCCTTTCACGGCGTCACGACACTGAACTGCTCTAGTGGTCGGCGTGCCAGTCGGCTTGCTGTCAAGGAGGGAAAAACACCATTTTCACCTAAGAATGTCCTTGAAGGAGCAGCAACATTATTAATTTCATTACTCGTGAGCCTGAGTCTTTTCTGGGTGACAGAACGGAAGTGCACGGAAACAGCCTTGCTTTCGGTGAGGGGCGCCGCTTTGAATGAGAAAACCACTGACAAGCTGGGGAAGTCCAGGCAGGGGCACGTGGCCAACTCAAACAACCCTCATCGCCATCAAATGGATTCCGACTCAAGGTGATCACACAGGACAGGGGAGAACTGTCCCTGTGGGCTTCAGAGCTGCGACTCTTTATGGGAGTAGAAAGCCTCCTCTTTCTCCCAACGAGGAGCTGCTGGTTGCCAAGGACGGGCCAGATGGTCAGCAGCCCCATGTGGAACTGCCAAGCCCCGCCCCCAGGAGTGGTCCTTCTCAACCACAGACAAAGAGTGCTGGTCGCTTCAGAGCAAAGGACTGGTGCTATGTGTTGCCAATGCTAAAAAAACTCACGGTTGCAGCAAAAATTGAAAAGGAAAAAACTTGTATTCATCACCAAACGCAATAGTTTCCCCCAATTTAAAGACTTTTCTCATGAGATCAACATTGATTTAAAAAACATAGTATTCGT